CCTCGACCCGCGGTCGCCTTCCTTCGAATTAGTAGGCAAGGTATAGCTATTCTATACCTTCGACCCGAAGTAGCTAAGCTATATCTCGACTAGCGGACCTAGTACTAATCTAACCCTACCTAGCAAACAGGCCCGCCCGTTCTATTTTCTAGTAGAAGGCACTTAAGGCTTCTAATATAATATTGCGTTCCGCTCCGTATAAGATAGGGAGAACAAGTATTAGCCCTAGATATTAGAGAAGGCGTAGAATAAGGCTAGCTTTAGATATACGGACTAGTAACCTAAGATATTATAGAAGTAGGGAGTTAGCGACGTATACCTAAAGGCTATTAACGAGCTAGAGTTTAGAGGTAATTAACGACCGTATCTAAAGATATCGCGATTCCGGTAGTACCTAAATCGGTAGAAATAAAATAAAAATAGTCCTACCCTTACCGTCGCCTATATCTAACTATATATTTTACTCTCCTTTCCTATACTCGCTACCGCCGCGAAAATTATACCGACCGCGTACGCTACTAATCCTCTATTTACTCCCTACTCTTTCGGCGTCGCGAAATGCTAGTAAGACGTATCGATCCGCGCTATCCTAACGGCGAAAAGGGAGTCCCTCTTTTAAACCTCGCCCGCTCCTCGCGTCGTCTCTACTAGTCCTCTATTTACTATCTACGCTTTCGTCGTCGCGAAATACTAGTAAGACGTATCGATCCGCGCTATCCTAATAGCGAAAAGGGAGTCCCTCTCCTAAACCTCGCCCGCTTCTCGCGTCGTCTCCGCTAATCCTCTATTTACTCTCTACCGATACTATATATACTTCTATAGCGAAGAAAGGCGAGGTCGGATAGGAGCGGCTTTCTAATACGTAACCGGAGCTAAGCGAGCGGGGACGCTTATAGCTACTACGTAAATAGAGACCTCTAGCTAATTAGGTAGTCCTAAAGGTTATACCCTCGCTAGTTATTTAAAGCTAGCCCTAGTTAGCGAGATGCTAAACTATATTCGCTCGAATATATTAGCCGACCGTACCTTTAAGGATGCGGTAAAATTAGTATAAGGCGATCTACGATCTACTAGATCGTCCGGATAGGGGGTTTAATTCCCTTATTAGCTATACCTTTTTTTTTTAATCTATATAATTATCTATATTCTATAACCCTCTAGCTAATTAGATCGGTTCTAGATAGTAAGAGTTATTCGCTCGTAGTCCTTATAGAGATACGGGGTAGCGACTAGCGAGGGTATAACTTTTAGTATTAGAGGTTCGAATCCTCTATTAGCTATCCTTTTGCGCTCGCGTAAGGCGGCCGGCTATAGCCGCGAATTCTAGAGTTCCTATACGTGATTTTCCCCGTATCCGGGAGCTGCCGCGCTAAGCGGGAGCGCCCGCGTGTTTTAGGGATACTAGAACTTTATATATATAAAAAAAAACCCCTAGCCTCCTAAGGTGCGTGCTTTCTTATCTATACTAAGACGAGATAGAGACTAAAACTAAACGTATCGGTCTATCTAGGGCCTCTAACTTGTCCGGTACCGCCGTCTATTTAGAGAGCGTATTGTCTTTACGCGTAGTAAGAACGAGATATAGCTTTAAATATACCCTACGCGCCGCTACGCTATCGAAGACGTCGCGTAAGGGCAAATTACGGCCTAGAGACGATAACAAGTATAGAAAGTTTATAGACTAAAGAAGATAGATTACTCTACCTACGATATCGTACTTAGGCTCCTCCGCCTTCTTTCTAAGTTACGATAGCGTCTGTCTCTAGGGCGCGAGTACCGTACTTATAGTAGTCCTAAGGAAACGTACTACTCTCCCGTTCCCGTATATATCTCTAGACGATAAAACTCTCTATTCCTACGCCCTATATCGAGGATTACTATCGCGTCGTCCGTATCGATTTAAGTATAACCGAAATTAGCCGCATTCTATACTAACTATAGCCTCCTTTTTATATCGAAGTCCCTTCCCGCCTCTACGTCGAAGAAGTTATAGTATTTAATATAGCTATTATCTCGTAGGAAGTCGAAGGGTTAGTTATATTATAGCAAAGCATCGATAGTGCTAGGAAGATAGATTTCCTCTAATAACCGTAGGTTGCACTTAACTAGGACCCTCTATACGAAGGTACTATCCGTTCGGCTTATTATAGTAAGATACGCGTATAGAGGAACGACGACGAAGCGATCTATACCGAACGGCTATATAGTAGCAAGCTTTATCTACGCGAATTCGATTTAGAACCGGTTAGTAAAAGCGCTATATTCTTAGGGTGCGCGATAGATATACCTAGCGATAATGCCGAGGAAATAGCGAGTTAGACTTTTAGAGGTATAGTCTTAGCTCGAACTCGTCGAGTTCGTCGAGCCTATTAGTATTCGTATATAAATTAACGTAGACGATAGACCCTTCTATTTACTCTTCCCGTTACGCCTAAGTAGTAACAACGTTAAGGTTACCGTCTAGGTACTTATCCTACGACTACTTAGGTATAGAGATCTATAGGAGTTAGCTTTCTACTACTATATACTAGACGATATACGAGAATACGTACTACGTATTCTTCGTCCCGAGACTCCGTCCGCTAGTAGATCTTATTTATAACTAGAGACACTAATCTCGATATATGCCTAGACGGCCGGTAATCTATAACGCCGTAGTACGGAGGTTTAGGAGAGAAGCCGTTATTCTTATCTATATTACGGTTCTCGCGTACGCGGCGTAATACCTCCTTAGTAACTAGCTTATATATATCTTATAGCGCTTCTTAATATACCGGGGCCCGGCCTATAGCGAGTAGTTAGCGAAGTCGTATAGAAGCGCGGGGGTGCTTAATCTCGGCTATAGCGCGATTTAATTCCTAATATTAAAAGGCTCGCTACGGTATACTATATAGAACGTCTATCTCTATAGCTCGATATTAGCGAAGATAGCGTACGGCGACTAACACGCTAGAGACTTACTATTAGGGAGGGCTATAGTAGCTAAGACTATATAGGAGGGGCGCCTTTATCGAGGTCGCTACTAGTAATATCGATAACTAGAAGGAGGTAGATATAGCTACGTAGAAGTAGTCGCTATATTAGTTATTATAGTAGTAATATTTAGACGACGCGTAACGCCGTAATATTACTATTTATATACGTAACTATCGCTACGCGCTAAGCCTATACTAGCTAATAGATATAAAGCGACGATATAAAGCGACGATATAAAGCGACCTACGATAATAATAACGGCCTCTTACGACGCGACGACGAATACTCGACCTTACGCTTACTACTCTAGCTTAGATCCTACTACTATAACGTCGGTATCGTCGCTAGGGAGGTATTAATACGAACGAAGTCGTTAAGGACTCGAGTTAAGGCGAAGGAGCGCGTCGTCTACCTCTAGCGATATAATCTAGTAAGATATATCTTCTAGAGCTATAAATTTATATCGTATCGAGGGATATAAAAAGATGTCCGTTAAGTAGATAGCACGCTAAAAATTACAATAAATATACTAAGATTATCGTAGATTTCCTTCCGTAATCTCCCTAAATACTATATTCTCCCTTACGCTCTATACTACGATTGCCCGCGCCTTAGTTTATTATAACGCTCGACTCGCTACGATACTCCTCTAGTAGGGCGAGACCGAATAATAATAAGGAAGGCTTTCGCTAGATAGGAGCGCTATATATAGTTAAGAGACAACTCCGCGTCGCTACCTAGTCGAAGCCTATACCGTTATAGAGGAGCCGGAAATAGTCTAAGAAGTAGATTATCTTAGCGTACTTATCGCTAAATAGGGCCGGGAGCTATACCGTCCGTTCCTAATCGCGAGTAGCACTCTCTAAGAGTAAGGCGACGCTAATACTATAGCCGGATATCGTATCGAATTAATACTAGATCTCGAGGACCTTTATAGCCGCCTTATCGGCGACGTCGTTATAGAAAAGGCTAGTAGTAATATAAAACACCTTAAGAGGCTTCGCGATAGTCGATCCTTCTACTAGCTACGATTCGAATATCTACCTAAGGTCTAGCTTCCGAGGGACGATACTAAACGAAGGAAACAAGCCGAACTACTATAGATCGAGAATCCTCTATAGCGGGCTAAGTAGTAGCGAGTCTTACTATATCTTTATAAAGAAAACTACCGACTCTTATAGTAATTCCTACCGAGTACCGTAAACCTCTTCGTACTAGAATTATTAGCTACTATATCGGAGTACGACCGCTACCGTACTACTTACTATAGCTTTCTATACCTTAGACCCTTTAAGACTATAATCTTAAGCGTACGTCTTCGCGAGTATTACGGTAGGCCTCGAGAGACTACGATAGGTAGTTAGTAGCGGGCTCTCGTTAGATCTATACCGGTACGACGCAAATAAGTATCCGGTAGCTAAGGGAGTTAGATCGAGGTCGGTTCTAGTAGAGTCTATAATAGTCGATCGCGATATTAGGTTATTATAGTAGCAATTAATAACCGCGCGCCTACTAAAGTCGTTATATCTCCGGACGTAGGCGCGTTATACGCGGCTACTATAGTCGTATATACGACGCGCGCCTTCCTTAGGACTCGCGAGCGAAGGATACTATAATTTCGTATAGCTTCTCGAAGGCCGTAGAGGTCGATAGAGCTACGATAGCGACTAAGAGGGTCGATAGTATCGTATTTATAAGATCCCGATAGCGGAGCTCGCGATAGTAGGGCCTCGGTACTAGTTATACGTACTAAATTACGCTTCCCGTAAGGCTACTAGCGCGATCGAGTATACCGCTTCGAGTAAATACCGCCGGATAAGGTATATACAACGAAGACGCCCTTTTTGAGACTACTATCGAAGTTATAGCTCGTCGCGGTATATACTACGACGTCTACGCCCTTCCGAATCGCTGAGGTATTAACGTTCCTCGCGTCCACCAATTAGAGGCCGCCGTTGGCCCGTTTTGAGCCGCACTAAGCCTAAAGGGGCCCCAACTTTTGTTGAGTTGTCATATTATTAATATTATTGATTGATGAAAATTTCATTCGGTCCATCCACCTCCATCTCAGACTCAGAACCCACACACAACATCAAAGCCACTATCTTGGTGATATGAGAAGGCATACCATTTGCCCGAATGGCTATCATTGTGCACTTCTTACCTGCTGACAGCCAATGATGCCGAGGGAAGACTTGTACCGCGATCGCAGGCGCCGCTGACATGCCGTGCTCACCTACAGTAGCGCCTCGATCACAACTCCACCACTAATGCGCTCACGCCCGCGTACCAGAGAAATAATCTGCTCCGGCGATCTCATGCGCACTGTTCACTACGTACCTTGCGCCCCAGGCCAGAACGCCTTCTGCTGGACCCGAGGTCGCCCTGCATGCAGCCTCGGGCTCCTTCCTCACGCCTGCACTACGAAAGCGAGCAAATGGAAAAGCGCTCGCTCCGCCCCAGACATCGATCGTTACAACGAGCATCTGAACTTTAGAGGTATGTGCAGGTAGGTCACGCCGGTCACCTGGGTACTACCAGGCTGAGAGAGGCTTGATTCCTTGTTCCTCAATGACCCTACTTCTCTACATTGCTCTTTTTGCTATGCGCCACTCTAGAAGGGGTTGAGCGGACTGATGCATGCTCCGGAGCGAATCTAGCCTTGCGATCTGACGAACAGCGGAGCCATGGCCGGAATCGACGTAGGAGGATGCATGTCCGCCATAACTTCAGCCTTTCAAGGCGGAGCGGACTTGGTGCAATCCCTACAGGAGCGCAAGCAGCAGAAGAGAAAACGGAAGGAGTCAGACATGGAGCAGGTGTACGCAGAAAAGATGCTGCATAGAGCGCTCGTTGATGCGGCAGAAAAGACACAAACCGAGTGCGTGGAGAGACGGCATCGCCATGGACGAGCGTTCGTCCAAGGCGACAGCTTAGCAACAGCAGAGCTCAAGGATGTGATGATCGGTCTACAAATGGAAGTCATACAACCTCTGCAGCTCTCTCGAGCGAGCGAGAACGCCGTTTTGGACACAGGACCTCTGCATGAGGCAGTCATTACCTACAAGGCTACCGTCATTCGCAGCTTGGTACATTTATGCTATCGCATCAGCGTCTCCTCCGCGAGGCAGACTCAGTACAGCAGCAATGACTTCGTATCGCCGGTCACCTCGCCAGGTCTTCCCCAGAGAATGTCACTCAATTTTGGCGCGCTATCACTTCAAGAGCTTCCTCCTCCGAGACATCCAGACCGAGCGAGCTACCATCGACCCTCAACAAGTATAGCCTCTACGGTAGCTTCAGATGTTCGAGGCTCGAGCTCTGCCAAGACAAGTCCAGAAACCACATTGTCCTCGGAAAGCGATACGAATGCGGATCGCGGAACATCGGTGTGGTCCAGGACTACTGCTGGAAGCCAGTTGAGTGTATCTGGTTCTGTTCGTTCTGCTTAGTCGGGATCCACATGTGACGGATCGCTGTCAGCTCCCGAGGTCTACGAGACAGAAGAGGATATGTTCCGAGCCAACTCCGCACCAGAAGTAGTAACGAAGGAGTATGAATCGATGCTAAGCCAGCAGGCTCTAAGATCAGCAGCATTGAGAGGACCGCCCATGAAGACTCCGAAGAATGCGCACCCAGCGTACCAAAATCACTACATGGAAGCTCCCATTACAATTTTCGAAGAACCCGACTATCCCTGGTCGCCATTGACACGACCCGCCAAGCACAACAGTAAGTCAAGACCTCAAACCTACTCCCTTCCCCTCTACCTAACATACATCACCACAGACTACCACAACTTCTGCAAAGGCGCCTGGCTAGTCCGTCAAAAACTCGAAGAAGGCCTCAGCATAACCATGCTCCCCAACACCAAAGGCACCACAACCCCCTACTGGAAATGCAAACACTGCGCCTTCCGCTCCAAAGCCCCCTCCACAAACTCCACCACCCTTCCCGACTCCATCTACTTCGACGCACGCGGCATCCGCTATCGCTGGGTCTTCCTCGCCAAATCCCACTCCTTCGCCCAAACCCCCGCCGAAGATTCCCACGATTTGTATTCATATTGTTGTATTTTCTGCGCGGCGCAGGGCACCCAGACGACAATATACAAAAACTTAAAGGCCCTTTTGGAACATGTGGTTTCTAGGCATAAAACTTATATGTTGACTCCTGAGGTTAAGGAGAAGACGAGGTGTGTGGTGGGGGGTGCGCCTGGGAAGGATGTGGTTTGGGATGTGAATTTGCCGGAGACGCAGGGGAGGAGTTTGAAGGGGAGTGTGGGGAAGTTTGTGATTTCTGCTGTGACGGGGTTGGGTTGAGGGAGGAGGGAAGAGAGGAGGAAGTTGAGAGAGAGGGGTTTGCTTCTTGTGAGTTTGGAATTTTGGAAATTTTTTTGATACCCATCGTTTAGCGTGATATGTTATGGTATTGATTCGGAGCACTACATGTACAGCACGTTTCCATGAGCAATCACTGCGTAATCGCATTACCATCCAAACTCCCAATCTTCCCCGTCCAAAAATTAATCCAATTATAAATCTCCTTGTGCCAAAACAAACTATTCTCCCTATTCAGCACCCAATGATTTTCATCCGGGAAGCTCAGAAACCTCGAAGGCACACCCACAGTCTGCAGGGCATTGAACATCGCCAGACCCTCGCTGACCGGCAATCGGTAATCAAGTTCATTGTGCACGATGAATTGCGGAGTGGAGAAATTTTTCGCGTGCTTCAATGGATCCCAAGCTTCGTAGATCTCACGACTGGTCGCGTCCCAGAGCGTGCCATTGAATTCGTGTAACATGAACCACAGTTCTTCCGTACTCCAATCTGCGTATGTGGTTGCGACTCCGTCGTGGCAGACGAGGGCTTTGAATTCGCGGCCGAGGTCGTGGCCTTGGATCCAGTTTGTCATGTAACCTCCGTAGGAAGCTCCTGCTTCGATGGCATTGCTGCAGTTGATGTATGGGAGGGTGTCGCACGCGGTCTTGTGTGCGTTGACAAGGTCTTCGTATGGCCAACCTCCCCATTTGCCTTGGATACGGTCGGTCAAGAGCTGGCCGTAAGATGTCGAGCCTGTGGGGTTGGGACCGACGAGGACGTAGCCTTGATCCGCCCACGTCTTTAGATTCCATCTCGTGGACCAAACGTTTCCGGTGTATCCTTGAGGTCCGCCGTGGACGTAGAAGATTAAGTCGTAGACTTTGTTTGGGTCAAAGTCCTCTGGATACACGATTATGGCTTGTTGCGAGTCTCCAAGAGTGCCGTTGTACCAGAGATATCCGATATCCCCAGGACCGAGACCTGCGAGCTCGGAGTCTTGCTCGTTTGACTTGTAGAAGTATTTCGTCTCGGCAGTCGGGCTGACTGTGTACAGCAGGAATGAGGCCCATATGGAGTTGGCAGTGACAAGGGCATTGCCATCTGGGAGCACGTAGAAGGCGGACACGGAGGTGATATCTGTGATGTTCTGAGGCTCGTAGTCGGCAGCAGCATCGGCGGGAATGATGAAGAGTCTGGTGCTTCCAATGTAGTCAGCTCCAACGTAGAGATCTTCGCAACTGGGGCTCCACTTGACGCTGGTGGCCGAGTAGTCCCAGTCGCCAGCGACAAGAGTGATCTCCTTAGACTCGACGTTCGCCCAGTAGATCTTGCTTCGGTCGGACTCATAAGACACGCCATCCTGCTGGAAGTACGAGATCTTCTTTCCATCTGGCGAGAACAATGGTGCGCCTGACGCTCCTTGTGCTGCTTCGGGGGCCTTGCTTCCTGGACCATTAAGTTTCTCTGGTGCGGTGGAGCCATCATGAGGCACGAGGTACAGATAGCTAGCTGTGGTATTGACCTTTGGGAGCTCCGGAGCCTTGGTGAGGAAGACTACAGTGGAACCGTCCGGGCTGAGGTCGTAGTCACCACTATCTCCAAATGGTTGAACTGGCGATTCAGGCCGAGTCGCAGTGTAATTCAACTTGCTGAGCAGATTGGTCATCGTTCCATCGAAGCTGTAGGAAGATCCGTTGCTCTTAAGCGTGCCCGAGAATACAGCTTGGCGGTTTTCCGTAAGCCATGTATCCCAGTGGCGAACGTAGATCGAATCGTACAGCATTCCGGTGTGATACGGCTTAGTGGCCAATTCCTCGTTGTACGCAGACCCATTCTTTGCATATGCATAAGCGTAGAGCAGAAAATTGATGTCGCCGGCTGATGTTCTCACGGCCTTGAGTCCAGAATAAGGCGCGGGAAGTGAAGCGACCAAGGTTGGCTCAATGGGTGAGTCTGCGAGATCTGCTGTGTATAGCGTGACTCCTCCAGGTACATCGTCATTCGTGCCATTCACGTATAGTACGCTTGTGCTGGTAGCGCCAACCCATGCAGCTTCAGACACATCGCTGCCCCATGGCAGATCAGTGATACCTCCAGTTGGGATGTGCAAGAGCCACCAGGTCGTCGAAGACTCGTGGTCTTCCCAGGAATAGTTTGTAGAAGTGTACACTGCCCATTCGCCACTCGGGCTTGGACTTGCACTGCTGTACCTTGGAGCAGAGATCATTTGCCTGGATCTGCGTAAGCCATTGGTCTCGTGTTGATTCGCGTAAATGCCTACTCTGGTGTTATGGCTAGTGCCAAAGGCACCAGCGATGCTACCGCTGCAGCCAGATTCCTGACTCCCATCATCTTGAACAATGCCTATCTGTACCAAAACAATGGCATGAGGAAGCCACGCGAAGACCTACCTGGGACCTTATAGTAGCTGAACGACATGGTTACACAAGAACAACCGTGCCGTTACATCGGCTACTGCTCCTTCTCGGCCCTAGACCGGCTCAAGATGTGCGACCTGCTCGCTTGCTGGCCAACATGTATTTTGCTTCCTCACAGCATTACCACCTTCTTGTTTGCGTGATGCCAAGGACCTAAGGATTCGCCATTTCCCCGCCAGCGATGCAGCCAAGACGGGTATGATAAGCATCGAGTTGGCGCTCTTGCAACCACATGCCCATTGATGAGCTTGCGATACACAAGCTATTGTGCAAGGCCTGGCCTGGGCCAAGGATGGGTCGGACGACAGATTGATTGATGGTGCTGAGGCTCCGAATCCTGCCTTTGGCCATCGCTTCTGCGGTGCTCGTCAAACGCCAGCTTGGATGTCAAGGCGTCCATGTCTCTCGGCCAGGAGTTCGCTTGGAAAGCGGTGGGAACGGTATGGCATGTTGGGCGGTGGGTTTTGGCTCTGACTGAATCGCTATTTGATTGATCTGAAGCACTGTTCTGTGCTGCCGGTCGCTTCGGAACAGATATTGAGGACCGGTGACTTGGACGTGCGAAATGGATTACAGTATTCTGGTCGTCAAGAAAGATCTCTCGTAAAATAACCAGGTGAAGTGTAGAAGTGTGCATGGGCCTGACGACGGTTGTCGTTCGGGACGCCGGGATGGCTTGCGAAGGCAAAATATGCCAAGAATATAGCTGGGTTGAAGCACTCATGAATGAGACGTGCTCGTAGGGTCAAATTGTCGTCAAACAGACTTGTTGTAATCATTCGTCATTGTCATTGATACAGCACAAGTACTGTCTCAGCCTTTTACCATAGAAAGACCCCCTAACGCCTTGCTATACTTTGGTATCTTGCTCAACAAAAGACAACACTCGAGTCTCAATCTGTCGATATCCTCTGATTCCTCCGACCTCACCGAGAACCAGGTCCGGTGTCAATCATTCCACTCGTCATCGAAGCGACACTCCTCCCGCCGTATGGTCTGCGTGCATTTGAAGCTGCAAAATACGACAATGGCGCCCTCTTCGCCAAAGAACTGAAATTCGTGCCATCGGTGTTCTCAGACCGAACCTCATCATCGGCACTTCCTGCTTTTGGCGCACTGGCGGTCAAGTGATGGTATTGCAGCAGCGTACGCGGCGTCTACCTATGTCGTTCTTAGAACGTTTGCGGCCGCCGGAGCATTTCCGCTACCATCGAGCCCGTGTGCCGACGCAGGCCGTGCTCTTGACAGATTCATTTCTTCCTCGCTTTCGCTCGAGCTGCCAGCTTCGATTTTCGACGCATCGCGTTTTCGGGCGCGTGTAGATTTCGGGCCCGGACCCTTCTCGGTATGGTCGATGGACATGAACAAGAGAATACAGCTATTAATCTATTAGTGGCTGAGCCATCTAGGAGATGAACGTTGTGCTTGCCTTCCAATTACGCCGAGCAAAGCAGGCCACTGGAATACGACGGCGGCGATAGCGCGGCCATTGTTTCTGTAGCATATTGGAGTGCCTCCGTCCTTCTTGAATTCCGACAGCAGATACTGACCGTACTCCGGACTAGCTCCTCTGAAGTATCCGCAATGCCTCGCCGTGATCTCGGTCAATGTGAAGCAAGAAGCCGCCCAGAAGACTACGGACAGAATTCCACACACTTTCCAAGCAATGCGGACGCCTTTACTTTCCTCTCGTTCAGGCCAAAACAGGTCGAAGAAGAATGCTGATCCGAAGATGAACGCGACGAAGACACCCGCAAAGATGTTATAGGATGCCGCGCCGATATAGTCGTTGTTGTAGACGTAGACTCTGCGATCAAGACTCTTGACATATCTTTGGCTGTCGACATAGTCTGAGCGCTGTCAGCAAGCGATATATAGTCAAACATTTCTGATGGTACCATACCACTAAGAGCAGCCGTGCCCAAAGATTCGGAAACAACGCAGAGGATCATAGCAAGTTGGTAGACGATGAATTTCCTTCTGCGCAGGTGGTAATCTCTGTTCCACATATAACTGCTCTTGAACTTTCCCCACTGCATCTCCTTGAGGTCGAGACCCCATATCGATGGTGCCATTGTAGTCGCTGATGGTTATGATGCTCCGATGAAGATTATAGTGTCGATGGAAGCACGACTGCTGTGTTATTCGACACTCCAACTGCAAGAAATGCGCAGCGCAAGAATGCAAGAGAGCAAAGAGGGGTCAGATGCTCGCGCCATAGAAAGAGGTTGTGATAAGATGACACTTGCCTCCAGGATGTCTTTGCTGCCGCTCACCGAATGAACACTCGGCCCATGCAGAAAGTACGACTGCGTAAGTACTGTAGGTTGCTGAGCTGGTGGGCGCGTCAGCAAGCATGAGTTTCGCATCAGCATAACGGACAGTGGTCTGGCATCCGAATACAAGGGCTTAGAAACCAGGGACAAATGGCTGCGATTCGTCCTGCATACTGCGGGTGCGGCTTTAGACCGGAGTTGTTCGGAAGAACGGATCACTGTATAAGAAAATGGTGTAGTGGAAGAAGCTCTTCCAAGCGTAAAGCTTGTCACGAGAGTCGCACCCCGTCGTTGGTCGAGCTCGTCGGAGGCGGAGCAGACGAGGTTGAAGCAGGTGGTGGTGATGATGATGTCAGCAGATGTACCGGGATTGTCGGCTTCGTCTTCTCGGATTGGGTCAGTGCTCGGCAAGGATTAGGAGGTGAATAAGCATGCTCTTTGCAGTAACCTCATCGCTTTGTCATGGGAGGGCATACAAGTAGGCTGGATAAGGAGAGGCTGATGGAGGGACCAGAAAGAGCTAGTCAAGTCAAGATCAAGACTTCATGATGAGAACAGAACGCTCGATAGGCCGATATCTTGCGATAGCGCGTTCAGTGAAACGCGAAGAGGACATGAGAGCAAATAGAGAGTTCGAAGGCGTTCACGAAGCATAAGGATACATGGTTGATGCTATCTGTATAGCGCCAGGAGAGCCAGCAAACATTCCCAGGAACCAGATCTCGACATGGTTAGTTTTGATTTCGGTACGTGATGTTTCTTTTTGATTTCTACCAACCAGAGGCCGAGCAGGATTTTGTTGGACATGTCGAATCTTGGTCGTTACTTCTAATGCGCTGGCAAGCTCGGAATCGCCGCTGCCGTCCGTCACAGCCCGTCTGGCCACTTCTTGTTTTTGGAGCGCGCGACCTTGACGAAGGTCGAGAAACGCTCGGCGAGCTTCTCCTGGGACCAATTCTCAGCTCGCGCGCGCCGGCCTAGTGCAACGGCCCTGCCCAGTATTGAGGCCGCTCCTCTCTTGCGGCCTGTGTTGAAGAGACGTCTGCCACTAGCAATACTGCGAGCTTTCACCTCCGGCCGTACACCGTCGCCTGGTACGTATTTAGGATCAGGTTCAAAGCCGGTGTCGTGAATGAGCTTGACAAGGGCATAAACCTCTTCAAGAACATGTTCAAGGTGAAAAGATTCGGAGGGAAACCAGACTTGGAAAGATGTGAATGGTCTTGGCCCGCACAAAGCAACTACGCTGCGCCACTTCTCTACCGCGAGTTCAAAGAAGCCTGGGCCATCCGGAATTCTGAAGTACCATTGGATATTGCCATAGTACATGGGTGAGGCTTCTTTGCGAATGTACTTTGCGGCCATCAAGATCGGAGGCTCCGTGGTTGCCTCATCGAAGAACAACGCGGGCCAAAACAGGTACGATGCGTCAGGCATGAGCAGACTGTAGATTGTATTTCGCAGCTCAGGAGGCAGTGAGCGCAGCAGATCTGGAGTTCTGGAGCTCGGAGGCTTTGGTTTCCAGCATGGCGACAAGAATGACCTGGACGGCGTCAGCTGCAGTTCGGATTCGATGTTGCTCTATTGCTGCCGAGCCACTCACAACGGACGCGTGCCATTGATCACAATCTTGGTTTGAGCCTTGTTTGGCTGCATCTTGCATTGAGGCATGCGATGTGATGCGTTGATGTAGTGAGTCGGCTTCGCTCGTTGCCTGAAGCTGAACCTGATGCTGCTCGCCTTCTTGCCTTCCTTGTGCGCGGAGGTGTGGCACCTTCCTTCCTTCCTCATAACGCGAGGCGACGCTACGCTACGCTCCCGGCAACACCACCTCGTCTCAACGACACGCGATATTGCTTACAGAACGTCCTTGCGCAAAATCTCTCGGTACTGGCTCGGTCGCCCTCCTCGGCTTCAATCCTCGAATGCTCGGCGGACGATGCACATGTTGCTGTTCGGGCGACGGTGAATTGGCTGGTGGAATCGGCGCATCGTCAATTGTGAGCTGACTGAGTTGCGCCGATACTGGCGACGGCCATACTCCGCGACGTGCTCCAAGATGTGGGCTGCTCGTCTCACTCTTCGATGCCGTGCCGTGCACATCCTCCTGATTCTGTGGAGAAGCAAAGGCATGAAGAGTCTTCTTGTATCCCGGCATTGTTTTACCTTCCATCTGGTACATTGTATGCGCGTGCATCATCCTGTTATAGCTGTTCACTCGACCCAGCCACATGGACCTCTTCTGTTCATCCTCGCGCGCCTCGTCGCCCTCTTCGTTCTCATTCAAGACGTCTGGGTCGACATAGGGAAAGATTTGTCGTAGCCGCCCAGACGCTCTGTTATGCGATGACACGACGAGCTGAAACGAACCACCGGAGCTTCTCTTCGATCTGGCCGAGCCAGAGTAAGAGTCTGATCGTGGTTCATGCATGTATTCGACAGCGAGATTCGAAGACCCGTGGACCTTACTTGCTATTCAGCGTGGCTACGGGCTGGACTACGAGCCATCAATGCTGCCTTTTCAACCAAGCAGATTACTGCGAGCGTCTTCTCGCCGATAAGACATGCATCACCTACCAATCTCACTACCCTCCACCACCTTTGTCCATCGGCTCGAGCTTCGCGCCGTACCATGTCTAGACAGACACAGAAGCCGAATTGCCGCAAACGTACTGGGGGAATTCGAACAAAGACAAGTGCCCGGCACAATAGGCCCACTTCTCCACGAGTGAAACAATCCGGAGGTCTAGCTATCGTCGCCGCATTCCAGCTTGGTTGCGGCAGCAACATTCCGCAAAGTCGTCAGAAGTATACCAAACCTTCGGTATTCAAGACTTTAAATGATGTCAAGTCTGCCGTACGCACTGTTCTACCCATCCAGATCGGTCGCAGTGACCCCGTCTCCATGCCAGTGCTGGAATGTACGAAAGCGATCCTCGTGGCTTCACGAACTCGATCAACTATAGAAATTGAGTAAGCCTATATCTCAGAACTCCTTCCTTTGACTCAAGTAAATCCTTCACAGTCATTACAGACAGTCCAAACCTCGAAAAGCCAGCCACAAAACATCACAATGGCTGCTCTCAAGCTCTTCGCAGCCGTGCTCATCCCAGCATTGGCTGCTGCTCTTCCACAAGCCAGCACAAGCGATATTCCACCTTGCGCCTACTCAGCAGTCCTCTCAACTCTTCAAAGCACAGGTTGCGACCTCACAGATACCGCCTGTGTCTGCGGCAAACAAGACATCGTCCCATCTCTCACCAGCTCCGTCGTCGCAGCATGTGACGGCTCAGTCAGCGAAAGCGATGTTACCTCTTTCATCTCGGAATACTGTGGTTCGAGTGGCACATCTGCAGCTACAACTTCGCCTGCTGCCACCACGACCGAGGATCCAGCTTCCACGACCGACATGATGTCGACAACACCAACCATGGCCTGCAACGCTACTATCACCAACGGCACTAATGGCACTGGTTCCTGGACCTCTCCAACCCCATCGGCAACTGGCGGTCCGATGCCATCTGAGGGCGGTGCTTCAGTCACCAGCATGAGCACGATTGCTTTTGCTGTTGCTCTTGGAGGCATGACTTGGATCTTTTCTGAGCTCTAGATCACAGTAGATAGTTTGATGAATACATAGAAAGCATTTAATGTGTAATCTTGGGTCTGGCCTCCTTCTCTCTTCCCTATTTTTCTCGTTCGATGATTGGCTCGCGGAGTGCAGTCCGCCAGCTCCACTACTCCAGAACAGCACTCCAGCTTCACGCGTCTCTATCAAACTACCCAAACGGTTCAAGGCCACCTGGCAACGCATTGCAAGACACCAAAACTTCGATGCCACACAGAAGCCCGTGACTAAGACAGACAATCTGATAAGCGTTGTGATGAACAGGTAAGAGGCTGAAAGAAGCAATATCTAACGGCTTTTTCTTTTTAGTTCGCGTTGTATATCCAGTACGTCACTCGGCGATCACGTCAGGAGCTCTCTCATTCCAAGCGACTGTCTGAGTCTATCTCCTACTCCTCAATAATCCATACCTTTTCCAGACTTGCCCGCAAACACTCTAACCCTCATCCAAAACTCAACATGTTGCTCTTGCGTACAACCACGCGAACAAGTGCAGTAGTGCGCTCATCAGTACTAGCCAGATCAAGACCAGAAGCCTTCTCGACAGCTGCACCACGTTACACATCCTCCGACTACGGTTCAGGTCAACATAACAACGAACCCAATTCTTCCGTGCATAGGGAACATCCTGGTCCACCACCACCGGGCACTGCCAACAAATCATCGTCATCATCGTCCAACTCCTCTCCCTCTACATCTTCGAAGACCAGCAATGGCTCGCAGCCTAAGATCTTATCCGACTCCCCACCACCAGAAGGCGAACAGAGTGAAGAAGTAAGGAGACACAATGAGGAAGTTGCGAAGAGAGCGGATCGGCCGCATGAACAGGTGAATCCTGAGGATGTGGAGAAGGACAAGGTGCCCAAAGGGTTTTGGAAGGGCCAGAAAGAATGATTGGTGACACGTGTGCGATAGCAGGATGTGAGTAAAGATTGTGGGTGTAAGATGCATGTGCTGACTATGGTGTAGGGGTTTTGGGACTACGGGACCGATGTAAGACGAGCTCAGTGTAGGATATGATGTTGGAGAACAAGGAGAACAGAACGGTTACCCGAAAGTAGCACGTGTAACAACTATCGGTAACGAAGTATTGCTCAAGTCTTCGATGGTTCTCGAGTTACTCTATATCGCCTCACGAGTGACGATCTACTTAGAAGTACTCGCAGGCTAAGCCAAATCGCTCCACACGACGGGAAAATCGCAGATCAACAGAACGCGCAGACCCGCGCCGACCATCCCTCAGGCAATTTCCTACTCCTGGGCAAGAAATCATGCAGACAACCTCATCGCAATCGCTCACGCATCCTACCTACCTCTAGACGGTGATCTTCGTACGACAAACCGGGCAAGTATCATGCTTCTTCACCCACGGCTTCAAGCAATCGGTACAAAACCAATGCCGACAATTTGGCAGAAACGTCACAATCGTCCCAACCTTGATGTCCTTCTGACACACGCAGCAGATCGCCTCACCATCCTCTTCATCCTGGTCATCGGCCGTGATCTCCCGCAACGACAATTTTGGAACTGGTGCTTGTCGTATTGGTCGTCCTTGTTGTCCTTGTCGCCCACGTCCTGGATTTCGACGATTGTAGCGCGCGTGAAGACCTGCAACTTCGAGTTGATAGCGCAGGATTTCCTCAGGATCATCGTCACCGCAGAGCAAATTGAGTCCTCGGGCTAGGAATTCGTCGGTGGCACTAATGATCCGAGCCAAGAGACCGGACTGGGGATTCGAGTTGTTGCGGTTTGTGCTCGTCTGTCTCGCTTCATTGGGCGTATTGGTCTGCGCGTAGGCGGCGCGACCGTGGTTGGTGTTCCTTCTTGTGTCCATAGCTGGGCTGATCTGGGATGAAGAAGGCTCGGATGTTGCAGGAGTCGAGAGTTTTATAAGGTCTGGAGTTGAAGTGCATTCACCTGCCTGCGCAAATTCACATGCTTCGCTACTTACCAGTAAAAGACAATTATATTGTTGCTCTCGACACGACAGCGCTGTCAATTCTCTCCCGATAGTCCTAAAAGCTCGGCACAATGGCATAGCTGTTTTCCCAAAAGACAGCTTTACAAGTCTCGAAGCAAAAAAAGAGAAACTCCCCCATACCACAGTCCACCCAACAGTCGTCCCATCACAAAGAACCCTGAGCCCAAGCCACCGACCACCTCTCCCAAACAACCTCCTCCCGAAAAGTCGCACAAGTCTCATGATCCCTAACCCACGGCTTCAAACACTCCGTACAAAACCAATGCCTTCACGAAAGCTTCGTAACCTGCCTACCCACCTCAACATCCTGATGAAAAACACAACAAGTCGCCTTCCCATCCTCCCCCACATCCTCCGCCGTCACAACACCTTTCGGCAAGCAAGCCTTCAATTACAACGCGATGCCTCCCCGTCCCCCAAAGCCTCCCATCCCTTATGAAAGAATCCGTCTCGCGATATAGTTCTTCCCCGATAGCGAAATTCTCGTAGGAATGGATTCCGTTGGCGGAACTCGGGCATACTAATGATTCTCGTTGTTCGAGGGAATCTGTTGTACGCGGCGTTCGTGCTCGCGATGCAGGGTTTCGGCGCGATTAAAGGCGACGCCGTCCCAGGAAATTCGGATCTCTTCGTCGAGACTTGAGCCTGGAGCCGGGACGTGGTTTTGCTATGATGGTATTGCGGTGGTGGAGGGAGGGGACGATGGTGTTGGAAAATTTTGGGGTTGGAGGAGCTGGTTTATGGCGTGGATGGTTTGGTTGATTTGATTTTTGCTTGGTTTGGATGTTGTTGTTGGGGGGATGGGGGCGGGCATGGTTGGCGAGTTGTCTATGCCGGGGGAAATCGTGAGCTGTCACGAAAGAAAGGAATGGTTGAAGTCTTGAGCTTGGTTCTTTTGAAGCAATCACGGTTGCTGTGACATCTGTGTTGTGATGATGTTGGAAGGCAAGCTGTTTATGTATTATCGTGAGGAGTTGTGCCAATTCACAAGTCTAGGTTAAAGATGTCACTGAACAATGCCTTTGTACATCTCCCATTCAAAATATAGCTAGACCGCCAGGAGTGAATTCTCCTACCTCACTGCTGGGAACTTTGCATCCAAGTCCATAGTCTTTAGAAACAATGCCCATGACAAGCTGGCTGAACTTCTCCTCAGGTCTCGAAAGCCGTTATGTATGAACGCAACATGAACGCCGACTAAGACAGAAGAGCAGATTGACAGTAAGATACATGTATCGATAGAACACTTCCCTTGCAATCAAAACCAGTCTTAAGAATAAAGCCTATATCTCACCTCGTGCTCGGCTTCGACTACATGACCTTCTCCCTACAATTCGAACTGCTATCACAATCCTTCAACTACGGCACTGAAAAGAATAACATGTGTATTTCAACAGCTTGGAGCGCGCAGAGGCGCTTTAATGTCGACGCACTATAGAGAGTAATTGGTCTTGGCTGTGTAGTCTTGGTCATTCCCCCTGTCTCTACAGGAAGCTGTACTTGTATTGGGTCGGAAGCAGTCGAGGTTGAAGTGTGCAGGTTGAAGTTCGATGGGTGAGTCTACGAAGAAGAGAGAAGTCGCTAAATAGGTGCAGCGCGTGTGCACGGATCCTGGTTCTTCCAAGTGGAAGGTGGAAGGAAGTCTACAAGAAGAGCTTGAGAAGGATATAATCTTCTCCTTCTCAATCGTTGCGGACGTGGTGGACGAGGAACTCTTCGTATATATATAGACCAAAATTCTTGAAATGTGCAGACATAAGCCAGGTTGAATCTAATCTAATCCTTAAAGTGAAAACGCATCGGGTGCTCACACTGTGAAGCATCCGAGACACTCGAGGTCCTATTCGCTTCGGCCATGTTAGCTAGACAGTGCAAACACACTCAAACCTGAGACCCTAGGCAGAAGTGAGCTTCCACGAGAGCTCATTGTCAAAGTGACACAAAAAAGTAAGTGAGAATGTATCAAACCTCACTTGTCCCTTTATACAAGAAGAAGACTTTCTCCTAACCTCGACCGACTTCTCTTCTTCCTTCTTTGTCGCCTCCACGCCATAAGACCAGACCAAGCCACTGCCTGCCATTCCGCTCTCACTGGACAACCGCGACAATGATGAGCCTTACTGAGATTTTGAGCAGCAGATACTTCCTCAACCACACCCTCTCCGACGTCGACGCCCGCGCCAAGATCAACCACGCCGTGCACCAGATTGATTATGCACAGAAGTGCTTCGCGGCCGGTAACTTCGCCTCGTGCAGAGAAGCTTGCGAGGAGATCGTAGGCCTTCCAGAAGAAGGACGCAGCAAAGCCATTCGGGCGAAAGCCTACATGCTGTTGGCGAGACCGGAAGTGGAAGGAGTCTGGTGGGAGAGATCGTCCAATGCACAGCACGCGCTCGACTGCTGGGATCTTGTCATCGAGCGCGACGCTGCAGCCCATACCCGCTTCCCGATAGATCAGGCGCTGGAGTACCGATTCGAGGCGGAGAAGATGCAGAAAGAAGCCCAGCGAGCTGGCATCGAGATTGCTGCCGCGTCTGCCCAGAGATCCAGGTTCTTTGAGGCAACCTCCAGTGAGACGCCGGATGGCAGATTCCGATTGCGCGTCAGAGCATCGCCGAGGATGGTATCAAGGCAGAGAACAACCGCTGGTGAACAGGACGTAAGAGCCCCGCAACAAGATATCACGAACCGTGAACGGAATACCGACCTGCAGCCGAAGGTCCGAGATTTTGCGTGGGAGAAGATTGCAGAGCAGAAGAGGGAGGAGGACTAGAGCTTGAATTCGAAAGTGGCACGTTCCCATCCGCCGCTCTCGGGGCCAGGCGTGCGAGCTGCTGCTTGTATTGCGAGAGAGGTTTTGCGTTCGGCTGCTCGCTCTGTGCAAAGCTCGTAGACGGTAGCAAGGTTGAACAGCAGTGTGGGGAACATGGGCAGCTCTTCGGCGAGATCTTCCAAGACGTCTCGAGCAGATGTGATGTGGCCGGTGTACAATAGCGAGACGGCAGCATTGAGGGCAAACATTTCGTGGCCGGGGTACTCGGTAAGCAGAGACTGCCAGCTTCGTAGTGCATCGTCGTAATGGCCATCAGCAACTTGGAGGAGTGCTTCAAAACCGCGTTTCCTCTTCTCGTCAAGCATTTTGCTAGCACTCCTCTTCGCGCCTTCTACGTCGCCCACTCTCATTCTGAGTAAGGCCTTCCTGTATGCTAACTCGTCGGCTTCGACGTTGACCAAGGTGTCTAGATGCCTGGTAGCAGTCTCCAACTCGCCCATTTCTACGAGTGCGTCACAGACTCTAAGGCCGAGGTCCTGCAGTCGATCGCTCCAGAGCGCTGTCTCAGATTCATTTTCGGCCGCCTGAGCCGACTTCAGGTTGCAGCGAACTTCAGCAGCTAGCGCATAGAGTGCCATGATGCCACGACGCCCTCCGTCGGCGGCTCCGATCGACTGCAGTCTGACTAACAGTAGCCTCAGATGCCATGGTATCAGTGGAATCAGATCCTGTGCGGCAGGCGTGTTTCTAACAAGGACATCTGTGAGCGGCACGGCTTCTGCAGCAGCGAGATCTGGTCGGGAGATGAGAATCAAGCATGCCAGGCGGGTGTACAGCAGAGTGAGGATTTTGTCAGCGGCATCTGGTCTGCACTGATAGATGGCCTTGAGAGATGCGTCGGCAGCTCGACGGAAGTGGCCTCCTTGGAGTAGATCTGGCAGGGTTGCATGTGGAGCAGGGCGCTGGCTGGAGTAGAGAAAGGCAGTGGGGACGTCTTCGGTGGGGATGGCGTGGTAGATGTCTCGGTTCTGCAGGTAGCGAAGATCTACCACTGGCTTTGGTCTTTCTGGCAACACGGGCTCTGGGAGTGGAAGCGGCGTCTGTGCTGCTGAGCGTGGCGCCGCAAGTTCAGATGTGGGACGAGATGGTGGTGGAGTGCTGGTTGCAAGCGCAGAGGGAGAGGCAGAGGCAGAGGCAGCTAGAGGACTGCATCTTGCTTCAGCCGGATGTGCATAGCCTGACGAAGACACGCGCTGGCACACCTACTCGTCTACAGCCGCTTCGAGGGGGGCCCTGGTCGCTGGCTGGGGCTCCGGGCGAGAGATGTTCCTGGCGTGTCGGCGCACACTGCCTGGCGGAGACGGCGCGGCGGCCATGTTTGCTTGTGTATTTATATGGGGGAGCTGTGGTGGTGGTGGTGGTGGTGGTGGTGGTGGTGCCGGAGATGCTCTGCTGTGAGACTGCCGCCACGGAAGCTGTACTACTGCCGCGGTCAGTGCACGAGACGAGGTACGATGACTTGGCGATCGTTGCGGTATCGGGCTTTGTCTTTGTGCTCCGCTCGCGAGGGCCAATCACACGCTTGCTTTGCCAAAGATTGTCAGTGCGTCCATGGGCCAGGTGCAGTTCCAGTATTAACGCGGACATTTACCAGCTCGTGAGTCTTCCTGTGACTCTTCGCACTGCTCCTACCACAAATACCACACATCTTGTCGCTCCCCGACCTGTTTGCAGCAGCTGCCACCAACCATGTTGCAGTCAAAAGCGGCCAGCAAGGCCATCCAATGCCTGCCCAGAGCTCACGCCCACACCCGCACATTTTCCGCCTCTGCGAATGCCGCTGCCATTTCGCCCTACTCGCCAACCCGAACGAGCGCACCGCAAAAGCAGACATCGCAACAACCGACACCTGCGAAACGAAATGCATCCGCCACCGCGAGAAATAGTGCTCAAGCGGCCGCAGCTGCTCAGCCGGCCACGAGACAACGAGCGGTGCCGAGTCCTGCCTTCAACCGCGAGTCGAGTTTGCACGATGTGCAGCCACTGCAGCCATTCCGCCAGCCCGAAATGGACCACAGCTTCGTCGGCATGAACGGAGGCCAGATCTTTCACGAAATGATGCTGAGGCATGGCGTGAAGCACATCTGTGAGTGACATCGACATCGCCACCGAACAACAATGGTAGGCATCGAGTCACGCGCGCTGACAAACTACTAGTCGGATATCCTGGCGGTGCCATTTTACCAGTCTTCGATGCCATCTACAACAGCGAGCACTTCAACTTCATCCTCCCGAGACATGAGCAAGGCGCCGGACACATGGCTGAGGGTTATGCCCGAGCTACCGGCAAGCCCGGTGTGGTTTTGGTCACATCCGGCCCCGGCGCGACCAACACCGTGACTCCCATGCAGGATGCCCTCATGGACGGCACACCAATGATCGTCTTCTGCGGTCAGGTCGTGACTTCCGCCATTGGCTCCGATGCTTTCCAAGAGGCTGATACCATCGGCATTTCAAGAGCATGCACAAAGTGGAATGTCATGGTGAAGAACGTCGCTGAGCTCCCGAGACGCATCAATGAGGCCTTTGAGATCGCAACATCTGGCAGACCCGGCCCAGTCTTGGTCGATCTTCCCAAGGATGTCACCGCTGGTATTCTCAAGAGGCCCATTCCAATGACTTCAACTCTGCCCACCCACCCATCTGCAGCCACTATAGCAGCCCGTGAGCTTTCCCTGAAGCAGCTGAAGGGAAGTATCAAGCGCTCTGCGGATCTGATCAACATTGCAAAGAAGCCGGTCATTTACGCCGGTCAAGGTATCATGGGCCACCCAGATGGACCAAAGCTTTTGAAGGAGCTGTCAGACAAGGCTCAAATTCCAGTGACTACAACTCTGCAAGGACTGGGAGGATTTGACGAGCTTGACCCCAAGTCGCTGCACATGCTTGGAATGCACGGATCTGCATACGCAAACATGGCCATTCAGGAAGCCGACTTGCTGATTGCTCTTGGCGCTCGATTTGATGATCGTATCACTGGCCATCTCCCGCGCTTTGCCCCAGCTGCAAAGAAAGCTGCGGAGGAAGGCCGCGGCGGAATCATCCACTTCGACATCATGCCAAAGAACATCAACAAGGTTGTCCAAGCAAACGAGGCTGCCGAGGGAGATGTGACCGCAAACCTGGCTCTCCTCCTGCCTCAGGTAGAGCAAAGGACACCCGAGGACCGCAAGCCCTGGTTCGACCAGATCTCAGCCTGGAAAGAGCGCTTCCCTTGGGCGTATGAGAAGGAGGCTACCCCAGATTCACCCATCAAGCCCCAGACCGTCATTGCAACCCTTTCCGATCTCACCGCTAACAAGAAGCACGAGACCATCATTGCCACTGGTGTGGGACAGCATCAAATGTGGACCGCACAGCACTACCGATGGAGATCACCACGGACTATGATTACCTCAGGTGGTCTAGGAACCATGGGCTACGGCCTGCCAGCAGCAATTGGTGCCAAGGCTGCTGCACCTGAAAAGCTCGTCATTGATATCGACGGTGATGCTTCCTTCCTCATGACCCAGACTGAGCTCGGAACAGCGTCAGAATTCAACATTGGCGTAAAAGTCATGGTCCTCAACAACGAGGAGCAGGGCATGGTCACTCAATGGCAATCTCTGTTCTACAACGACCGCTTCGCCCACACGCATCAACGCAACCCAGACTTCCCCAAGCTTGCCGAGGCCATGCACGTTCCAGCACGGAGAACCACAAAGTTGGCCACCCTGAAGGAGGATTTGGAATGGCTGTGCTACGGATCTGGAGACGGACCAGCATTCCTCGAGGTCGTCGTTGACCAGAAGGTGCCAGTCCTGCCCATGGTGCCGGCTGGGTCGGCTCTCCACGAATTCTTGGTCTACGATGAACAGAAGGAGAAGGAGCGAAGACAAAGAACCAGGGACCGATCTGGACGATAGTCGAACACCGAGGCGGTCTTCTGGTCATCTTTGATACCCTTTTCTGTTTTATTGTTGACGCCTGTATATGCATGGCGCTTGGAGTTCAGCATGCTTTTGGGGCCTCATTATTCATTAACGAACGGTGCATCAGCGGCTTGCGATGCGAGTTATGTCAAGTCGAGAAATCTTCTGAATCTGGCCGGGTATTAAAAGCAGGCGGATCCGAAAAAAGTTTTTGAAGCGAACGCGAGCTGGAAATGTATGTAGGTCGAGCGAGGCGCCAGTGAATTGACTGGTTTGACCTATTGAAACGAGTTTATATGTCCACCATCTTCTATCTCCCGAGTGCGGCGTTAAGAGGCACAGTTCAGTTCTTGAACATCTTGTCGAGCGTTGCAAGCTTACCTCACTAGCGAGCTAAGGGACATTTGAGTCGTCAATCGAGAACACTTGGTTGCAAGACAAACCACTTTTGATGAGATGGAGAGGAGGCGAATTTTCTTTTTCGGAGCTGGGTGGGTAACATTTTGTCCAACCGTGATCAAGATAATTCTTCAAACAAGCCGACCAGCGAGAGCTATCATGTCCGGTCTGTTTTCGTTGTCTAGTTGCTGGTTCGGAAACTGTTGGCTGGCTTGTATGTACTGCTGGTCTTGTTGGTGAAGGCAGTGCCACATAGCACGCGACGAGGTCGTTGCCTATGACTATGGCAGCATTGCTAGCGTACCAGACAGTGACGCTCGGAGTTTGCGAAAGCTGGACATGGTGCTTGCGTTCATTCGCGCATTGGGCCGCACTTGAGTCACCCATTGGGCAGTGCTCAAGTAGCATCTTGACAGGGCTAGAGGAATTAATAAGTGGGGAGAAGGCCTCGAGAATAGTTTGCAGTGCTCGACATGCGTGAGCATTGATGCAGGATCCAAGTTTGTGATGTTCGCGCTTGAGAAACAATAGGCGGCCAGCTCGTCGGAATTCGTATTATGACCCTGGGAGATCCGTGTGGTGGGGATGGTCCTCATGCATTTGCGGACCTAGTACTGGCATCCGTCGTATCATGCAGCGCTCCACTGATGTACATGCCGGCAGATGCAACTTTCACGGTGGTGCTGTTGGCAGCCTATCAGACATCCCTCGTGGATTCGCAAAGTCTTTGGTTTGTCACTATGCAAATGTGAATGTAACAACCGTAGAGAGTAATGAAAAGCGTGCGGATGTATGATAAGTTGGCGATGAAGTATAGTAGCACGGCCTGATTTCGTTGAATATTCACCGTGGTGCTCAATCCCAGCTCATAGAAAGTGATGTTCTGACGTCTGCGTCTTGCTGCATGAAGATTCTAGACTCCCGCGGTAGACGCATGGTCTACCTTGCCATCGCCACACCATCACGGTGTGGTGTGTGGTGAGGTGTGGCTTGGCTGTCAGAATGCCATAGCAACATGGGAAGTCTTGACGAGGTTCAAGAAGTATGAAACTGTGGCCCCCGGCTCTCAGCATCATACTGCCAAAAGTTTCGGATTGTGGGAGCATGGTCTCAATCTCATCATTGCTGAGATTATGTCTTGTCGGTGTCCGAGTCAGATTGCATTCTGAACAAGATTTGGTGTTGGTGATTTGGGCTGCAGAACACATGCAGTTCTGGACATGAAAGTGACCACGTGCGGTGTGCACACGCTGCCTGTCACTCAAGCACGCACAGATCAGAGCGAGGTCTGCAGCATCTTCCGGCTTTGTTGCTGGCTGCATGCGAAGATTCAAGAGCAACCAGGTTCATCGAAATGCGAGTACAGAGGGAAGACGGTACGATTCGGCGTTCGGCGTTCCAGGCGAGCAGTTCTTCCTGATCGATGATGTGTATTCTACGCAGAACTACGCATGGGTGTGCCTTGGCGCGGCAGGACACGTGGTTCGAGGTATTCTGTTCTCGCTTGTACCACAGCATAAGGTAGCGTGTACGGTATACTATCACGCACAGATGTTCGTTTGGTGAGTGGCTGCATCACACACATTCACCCGTGAGAGCTGACGATACGTGTCCGTGTCCACAGCCTTCCTCATCACGCCCACGTGCCACGACTCTCACTCAACAGTAGAACTAGCAGGTATGTGTCAGAGAAGAGCAGGCGACTCGTCAGTCCCTAGGAGCCGGCACTGCAGCGTGCGCATCCCCGAGTCTAGTCTACTAGTAGAAGTATCGACAAGGCTTCGGGACAGAGAAGGACTGGCACCCTTGCTCGTACAGAACGCCTCCGCCACAAACTGCCACTGCCAGATCTCACTCATCTCACACGCCGGCTTCCACGCTTCGGCCATGTGGATATTATCATCCCATGCGTGTCGTGTCTTCAATCCTACTGTAAGCGACTCCAAGTTGCCGACCACTGCCGGTGTGCGTATAATAACGGGTAGCGAGTGAAAGGAGAGGCAGACCATCGCTGCCCAGAGCGATGTGATACTACTGTGCTTGCGCAACGTGGCAGATAAGATTCAACGATTTCTGACCGCGTAACGGTCCCCGTCTGATACACCGCGATTTAGCGAGATGGCGGACGGCGGTGATCCCTGAAAACGGGATCTAACTGGTTAAAGCTAGCGTACTGCCTAAAGGAATTATCCGCACCTTTAAAAAGTCTACGTCTAACGCTTTCAAGCTAGCTGCCGCTTACGGGGATTACCCCCGTCCGCCATCTCGCTTAATCGCAGTGTACCTGTCACGACTCACCAGGGCGGATGTTGTTTTGGTGGCCCGACCCTCTACAGTAGAATACTTCGCTTCCTCTCTTTCAACATAGCACGCCAGCGAAAACGCCATCTGTCGCACGAATCGAAAGCATCGCGTTCATTGTGTTGCCCACGCCCGCACGCCGGTACCCAAGCAAAACACGGAAAAGTCTCGCCCGCTGCGCAGTCGGATAGAGTTCACTCGTTTGAGCCGAGCCACATGAAAGACGGCTGCACAATATTGGCATGCATACTTCGCCGATCATTACTCTCCTCCGCACGACTTAAGTTCTTGGTGTTTCATATATCGCCAACCAGACGACATCGCTGCATGGCTTTCCATTTTCCACTTTACATATCGTGATAATTACATATCTGGGCCCGCCTCCACAACACGCGACAGACCCGCAATCATACATAACCACTCCATATCCAAGTCATCGGAAGGAGCACATCACCCTCCAGCGACAACCCGCATAGCATGTGTGTCGCCGGCCTGAACGTCTCGACACAACCGTGTGCGCATCGCTGGTACGAACTCATTCGACCTTGCAACCCGGCCAACAATCTTCAGAATTGTCCAGAGCGAGTCAAGTTGGAAGGCTGGGAGAAGCGTAACGACCGTTGCCCATTCTGCGACGGCAGCAACCACCATCGATCGACACATCGACTTTTCGGAAGCACATCTTCCGCCAGTTCGGTCGTATCCTCACCGACCATTCCTGATATGGGCTTCATCAGTCTCGCCGGACGACGAGAAAGCGGCGCAACTTTGAATGGCACTCTCAGCCCACTATCAACAACGAGCAGCATCGACGAAATGGACGCTGTGGAACTCGAACGAGCGACACGAGCTAGAGACATGAATGACCGATTACACGTCTACTTGTCATGCGATCCACACGAAGTGCTACCTTCTGCGAAGAAGAACTACCCAACCTACGCCACTGCCATACAGCGAGCTGAAGAAGCCGCCGCCAACTCATCGGATGGCCCTTCTTCGAGGAAATCATCTTTGATACGACGCCAGTCTCTCACACGTGGCTGGAAACGCATGTCGCACCGCTTCAGCTTCAGCTCATTCTCGGACCTCAGGATTTTCGAACGACAGGACTCGTGATGAAGGTGAGAGAATCATCTCGATCCCCCAAAAGTATCATCATCACTATCATCTTGGCAACTGCAACTCGTGGCGTGTAGCAAAAGCCGCCAGATTGGTTCATTGCCAAGTATTAAGGACGCAGGACCGGCTTACGACCCATTTCTGGACAAGCGGCCTCTCTACTGCATGACTGGATGCTACCCCCAATTTATGCATCGCTATCTATACCATTGCAGGCGCAGGACGATATACCCAATGACTGTCAAGATTAGGAAGGACCGAAAACTATCGCGAAGAGCATGACGATCAGATAACCCTACTGGCTACGCGGAAGGAGGAGTGCCTCGTGGCTTGCACGGGGTGCCGAGAGAATTCCTTCGCGTGCCAAGCTGGCGGTGTAACACTTGGCGAGTCTTGGAAATGTTGGAGAGCCTTGCCTGCGCGTTGCTTGTGTGGATGCAATTTCCCGCTATAACGATGTGGTGGATCCGGAGCTCTTGACAAGGAAGGAAGAAGATCGACTCGCAGTGCCGAAAATTATCGTGGGGAAATGGAAGCTCTAGACCAACAACACCATGCATTCACATGTAATCACTCGTCAGCTCTACCTGCGGATGTGCATCTATCCAAGCTGTATTCCCAAACTCTCCAGAGAACGGAAATTGAAACACCTTCTCAGGTGACGAAAACGGCTCATACTCCCCTTCCGTCATCTCGATTGTCACATTACCAGCTTCACGTCTCGCAGTCGCATTAAATCCTGGTCCATAGTCACGGAATTCCGCCATGGTCGTATCTTGCGCCACAATCATGGTCAGCATTCGGACGCCGGCGGCAGCATCATTCAGCAGGTATCGATACTCACTCTGACTAAGCCTCGGATCGCTGGAACTCCATTCAATGTATCCAGCCGGCAAAATACTATCATCCAAATAACATCCGCTGAAAATCGATCTATGCTGAGAATTCCAAGGTCGGCCCAAAGGACATTTGTGTCGAATCTCCAAGGAACTATTCGCCTTCACGACATGGGAGTCATGAATGTAAACTCCATACTTACTCTTAATTGCGTTTAGGTTGAGAATGCCAAGAACCTCGTGACCGCGATGCCTGTCTATACTGTTTCTTAGTAATTTAGTCGATAGAGTGCAGTTATCCTTATACCGCCTCGAAAATAGCCCTTATAAGCGGTCTACTACTAGAGATAGCATATATTGTCGCTACGGTCTACGTTGCTAGTAACCTCTTACTACTATATTACCTTATAATAGCGCTAAAGCCGAAGAAAGCACCGTCGGTAGCTCGAGCGAGTCGATTACGTAAACTAGTTAAGAAGAAGCTTCCGGCTTATAAGGAGGCTATTAAAAGGCGCGAGTCGCCGAAGAAAGGGAAGGCAAAAGTAGTAAAGAGGTCGGTAGCGGCGGAGGCGGCTTTAAAGAAGTTTAGTTAGGCGCGCGTATTTAATACTTAGGCGTATAGAGAATTCTCGGACCTCTTATTAGAGCGCGCGTTAACAGTAGTTAGTAATAATAATAGTAACGGCGGTAGTAATAGTAGTAGTAAGAAGGATATAGAAGGTAAAGTCGCGCCTAGCAAGTTAACGACTATAGGCGAGGCGCCTAGCAATTAGCTAGCGTAACGGCTTATAAACTAGAGGTTAATAGATAAAGGAGATATTAAGACTACCTCGCACGACTCTCGTAACGACCTTTACTATAAGCAGTATTAGCGCCTTCTTAGCGGCAACTAGGTCCTTAGAACTAAGAATAAGGAATAGTATAGTGCCGCTACTTAGCCTACTAAAGATGCTTTCTACTAGGTAGTTAATAAGGCTAAGAAGCAAGGTCTCTTTATTAGAAGCTATATACTAGTCGTGTCCGCTACGAGTATAAAGAAGGCCGATTGGTTCTACTAAAGTTAGAAGCAAAGTAGTAAGTTAAACGGCTATTCGAAGAGCGTTTCTATACTAATCTCTCCTAGCTAAGGATTATAGTAAAGCACTTAATACCGCTCTTGAATTTGAATACGAAGGTCGAGACAAGGTCCGTATTAATATTAAGTTTAAAACAGCAGCGAAGGACGCCCTCGCTAGCGCTGTTCTTAAAGTTAGCAAACTAAAGCTAAACGACTAACAAGCTATAGACGGTCTTACCTATATTGCAGAAGAACGAAGGTCTAGTAACTATAAGACTAAGCTCTAAGCTAACTATATATATACTCTTAGCACCTATAAGAACTATAGCGGCTACTACTATTATCCTAAGAATACGCTAAATACGGAGATTTATTATTACTAGTTCTATACCGAGGCTTTAAACCTATAGTCTTACGCTCTTGCTATATAGCAAGAAGGAGTTAGTCTTAAGAAGCCGCCGGAGTTGGCTTTTATAAAGATAAAGGATTATAAGGACAAGATATTAAGTAGTAAGCTAAAGGGCTCTACTAGCATACTTGCTAATTTAAAGATAGTAGAGCTTCCTTAAACACTAGCCGTTTAACGAGGCCGTAATAACATTGATCCTAGTGCTATTGTCCGAGAGACTATATCGAGTCTACTTCCGGTCCTTCGTAGACAACTAGCCGCCGCCGAGCCTGCCGTTATACTACCTCCGGCTGTTATAGAAGAGTCTCCTATTCTAGTCCGTATTATAGCACAGATTAGAACGCCTATCTTAAGCCTTACTCGACAGTTCTTTAAGTATGCTATATAGCAATACGAATAGTCTAATCTAGAAGAAGTTAGAGACTTTAAGAAGATTAAGTTACACTTCCTTACTAAGAAATAGGACTGTAATTAAATAATGCGTATCTCTAAGAAGTACTAGAAGGAAGAACTTGGCTTCTTTAAAGGCTATAGACGACGGTTGCTTAATACATTAAAGCGCTTTTAGAAGATTAAGTTATCTAAGAGGTTAGAGAAGTGATAGGTTTGAATAATAATAACGACATTAATAACGGAGTAACGGCTGTTTTCTTTAGTTCAGATTAGTATAGGGTTTATATAGGAAAGGGAAACAAAGTAGCTTATTAATTGCTCCGTTGCGTATGTCTTAATTATCGTTGCCGCCCTTCGAGTCCTCCGCTAAAAAGTAAAGTTTGTAAGCGGAGCGCTTAGCGCGGGGCTTAGCATTCCGTACTACCCCTTCGAAATTCGAAAACATCCGCTATACTGCTCCGACTATTATAAAATTAATAGCGGAGCTTCTATTAGACATTATCTTAATATTGCGCATTTTTAATAGTATAATTTGGTCGTATAGTAGTAGTATTCTGCCGCTTAGAGGTGCAGGTTGTTAAGCTCGAAGCCTAACTTAGTTGCTTCGTCGTCAAATACGCTATTAACGTTATAACCGCTATATCTAAAGAGTCCGGTTATATTAAGGCTAGCTATATGCTTAAGAGCCTATCTAAGGAAGTCGGCAAAGCACTTAAAGTCCTTCTATAGGTGCTTATTCTTCTTAAGCTATCTTTTAAGTATTGCGAAGGTCTATTCTATTAGGTTAAGGTCTAGCGAGTATAGCGGCAAGTACTCTAATCTATAGCCGGCTAACTGTATTATCTCTTCTACCCTATCGCTATAGTAGATTAAGGCGTTGTCTATTACAAAGATTATCTCCTAGCCCTTAACGAGAGGTAGTACTTTATTTTCTAGCTAGTCGTTAAAGGTAACTTAATCTACGGCGCCTTCTATACAAAGAGTGCAGTTAAGATAGCTATTAATCGTTAAAGCCGGCAATACTAAGGTACGTCGTTGCCTTTGCGCGTACTAGAAATCGTAGCAATCTATACCTCTTAGAGACTAACTATATTTCCGGTAAGTAGTCTTCTTATTAGAGGCCGTCTCGTTAATAAAGACTAACTTATTAACAGGCTATTTCTAGCTCCTAGTATGCTATACGGCTCTTGCTATCGGATTGCGCTCCTTCGCGATATACTTTAACTGTTTCCGAGTCTATTCGAGCCGATTAGTAAGCGTACGCTAAACACTCGAAGGATACAGTTCTACGCTAAATTTATTATATAACGCTATATATATCTCTTTAAGGAATAAGTCTAGTCGATTAGATAGGTATTCCTTTAACTATGCGTCTATCTCCTTCGTTATCTTCCTTATATAGCGCTTCTTCTTCTTCTTACTAGGCGACGGTAGTAGGTCCGGATCTAGTATATATACCTTACTAAACAGCTCCTAACACTTCCGCTATCGATATATCGTCGCTATACTCGCTCTAGTCTTCGAAACAATAGTTAGAACGTTAGAATTAGCTTTAAAATAGAGTACTGCGAGTCTAGTAGTCTTAGAGGGCAGGCGGCGAGGTATAGCGGCGTAGGAAGGCGTAGAACATACACAATAATACCTTAACGTCCGTATTTAACGGCTATACTATTAACATAGTTAAAAATTCAGTGTTAGAGTGAGTATGCTTAGAAATAGGACAAAATGGCTGATTTACTAGCAAAATCTTGGTAGGGTTTCCCAGGTCTTAGCATTCTCAACCTAAACGCAATTAAGAGTATTCTCAAAGGTGGTATTCGTGGTATTCGTGCCTTTCCAAGCGGTGATTCCGCCTCCACAACTTCGCAACAAGAGCCGCGATTTCTCTATCCAGAGCGTGCCGAAGCCATCTATTGTAACCATCATCAGTGATAAAACCGAAAACCCTTGTGGACGATGATTGGGACGAAAAGAACTCACACAAAAAATCCGTCTGTCCTGCCACAATACTCCCAAACATATACACATTCCCCAACTTCCCAACATAAACCTATATCGATTTCTCGTCATCAGCTGAAACCCTCCTCATCCATGACTTGGGTCGATACGTATACATACCGTATCCTGCCTACTCCCCACCCCACAATTGCCAATACCTTCCACTTTTCTATAACCACCACAGAGGAGATACCCGGCGCCGGCATCTCGTTAAAGGAGTCGAACCTCTATAATTTCGCTCGATCTGTATAGTGCCTTCCTTCGACAGCAATCAGCACCGCGCCTGCCCAATTCAAGGGGAGAGCGTGCGAGGACTGGGTATAGTCTATGCTTACTTTCACCCCGGTCTATGAGGAATTAGGTAGACAATTCATTCTTGCTCGTGAATCGTGGTATTGATGAGCGAAGAGACGGAGAATTGGAGCACTCGTTCAAATGATTTCTTGCTTGGGCGTACGTTTCAATAAAGGATCGCATTAAGTGTACAGTGTAATCAAGAGGCCGACTCGCCGAGTATTATTCGAGGGCGAGAACCCGGAAGTGTAGGGTGAGAACCCGGCAGAAAAGGGTAAACGCTCCACTAATGAGCCAACAGAGTGGGATTGTGCGTATAACGACGTCCAGCTCTTGCTTTTATGCTTAATATTATTCGATTGACCGCGTCTATCACTGCGAGGGAAGGCGTAATCAGGTCAGTGTGGACAGCAGGACTTTCTCCACTTCCCCTTCATCGCACATACTATGGTCAAGGTAAGAGAAGATGGGTTTTCATTATCATATAAAGTCGACGCTAAAGAGAGGGAGAGAGCTGCGTGGGAACATCTTCCTTTTGCTCTCCAAACCAAATCGAACATCATCAACAATTAGTAAGACCCTTTCCCATTCCAGGTTCTCATTACACCAAATCCATCTCTTCACCACCTTTCCTCACCCCCCTCGTCCTCTTCGGCACATCATAAGGATCCTGATCCTGCTGAAAAATGTCCGTAGCAGGCCCATCATGCCGTCGACTAACATTCCCCGCCTCAGGAATCGGTCCAAGAGCCGTACTCTCTTTCCTAGGAACAAAACTCGGAGGTCTCGTCATAGGCGGAGTAATCTCATTAATACTCGTATTTCGACTATCCGGCAAGATGCCGACGCCATGAGGATCAGGCATGGCAGGCACAGGTTCGTCAAAACTGTCCGAACCCGCACGACGTTGTTTTTCGGATTCCAGCGGTCGACCGAAGGATTTGCGTTTTGTTTCCAGCATGAAGAAAGGTTGTTCTCCGATGCTTGGATTGCGCATCGCGCGTCGAGGATGGCGGATGAAGAAGAGCCAGCC